CTAGCCACAAGGGTTTTTCTCTCAGAGAAAGAAATGCTACAAAATGCTAGATTTATCACTAAATGTAAAAATGAAACCCAGGAAATTATAAAATCTCATGGATCTGTATTTTTTACTTTCTTTTGGACTCTAAATGGCCGTCATAAATAAATCACAACAGCTGATCAGTAACTGTCTGTGGATATATACAATGAATTTAAGCCAGCCTCTATAATGGGCTTTATGTTTCACTTCTGAATGGCAGGCATCTTTAGGGGAATGAATGCAAGAAAGATATAATTCTCTATAACTATAGTGAAATTAAAAATAATTTTCCTGATTAATGACAATATTGCTTAAATAGCACATACTTCCACTGACTTTAATACCAGCTGTAAATACATTTTGCTCATAAAAACAGATCTGTAAATGTGTTAGAGCTTGGTAGCATTACTGGCATACACAATACTAACAAAAACAGTGCTGTTTATTTTTTGTCATAGCGCTATAAAAAAACTTAACAGGTTAGATGGTGCTTTGTGTATGTTATGCAGAATAAGAAATGCCAAATTATACATGTAGATTTTTTCCAGAAGGATATTTGAACATATTCTATTTACTGTAAAATAAGTGCAAGTCCCCAATTATAAACATATATTTAATATTATTTTTTAAAGTTTAAATTTTATAAGTTTTTTTCTGCAAGTATAATGTAATTGAAGAATTTAATCTTTTCAAATTATTTATTTTTTGCAGAGTAGCAGATTTTGATTGTAAACTTCTAAAGCCACAGAAAAGTCCAGATGGCTGTTTCACAAGATGTTCCATGAGAAAAATTATATGAGTTGGTTGTTTTTTCTTTCTGTACTCACAGCACTCTCAGAATACAGACTTGAAAAGGACATCAGAGATCTAGTCCAATCTGCTTTAGCAGAATAAGTGTTCTTTAACATGTAATAGCTGCCCAATCTCCTGTTAAAAATTCCAGATAGAAGAGATTCCAGTAGCAAATTTAACAAAACAACACCACAAACTGCTTTCTCTAAGACAAACAGGCTCATTTCTTATAAAACTTTTTCTGACAGGAACAACAGATTTGTCTCAATAGAAATCTGAGTACTAACAGCCATTAAGACCCATGATGATGATGCCTATGTTTAAAAGCAGTTATTGAATAAAAATTTGCCAGCAGTAGAGTATCCACTTATACACACACATACCAGCAAAATATACTTTATTTGTTGAAAATTGTATACTTCTCTCAGCCTTTAAAGAACTGAAAGAAACAGCTGTTTAAATTTCTACCATTAGAAAACGTGTGCATTTCACTGTTTTATGGTTTTCTGGAGTCTCAAAATCACATGTCATGGGAAAGATGTACACTTACTTAGGTCTCTACAAGTTCACACATATATGTTCCATTTACAAGCCATACAAAAGGCCTTTTGCAGGTTTATTCTCTTTTTCTGTCTGAAAACACATGTGCTAATGTAGTCAAAGGCATTGAAAGATGTACCATTCAAACCTAAGTGGATTCCTTTTGTTCAAAAGGTTATTTTTTAAACTAAACTACTTGCATAGATCAGACTATCTCAGAAAACATAAACCAAAACACTTGTCAAATAGATTAAATAACAGGATATTAATGTAACCAAATTTAGGTCAAGCAAAGTAGAAAGAAAAAATTAATCCTGATTAAAAAATATAATCAACAGTTTAATACGATCAATGGGAAACAGATGCTCAAGCTGAGGGCACACTATAGGCTGGCATACAACATACTTTAAAACCTTTCCTTTGGTCTGATCTCTTGGCAGTTCTCATATTCTCTCATAAAACCAGAGCTAGTGCAGGTTTTGGTGTGTTACAGGATCCCTTAGGAAGCTGTCATTATCTCCTCTCTTAACCACATAATAGAAAAAAAGAAGAGAGTACCGTACACAGACCACACTGAGGAAGGAGAACCTGGAATTTTTCAACTGGTAACCTTATTTTCTGCAATCCTCAAAAAGGACCCATTCACCACCACCTTATTGTGATACAACAGAAAAAAAATATGTCCATCTAGCAGGAATAGGGAAGGGGAAAGAAACTTATATTAGCAATGCAGCAAATTTTCTAAGCAAAAGCACAGACTAACAAATGATATTAGAAAAGTTATATATTTATATCATGAAATAAAATTTTCCTGATTATTTCAATTCCAGTAAGTCTGTAGAAGGGACTTTTAATTGCCCTGAAATATGAGGGGGAAAAAGGGAGCCTCAATGGAGAAAGGTAGGTCAGCTGCCTTTTCCTAGACTCATGTACTTCCAGAGAGGACAGCACAGCACTGGCAGTTACTTGAGGAAGGAACTACCCTCTCTAGCACAGATCTTGGGCTCATGCTCCAGAGCAAATCACTGTTCCTCAGCAGCACAAGGAGGTGACAGAGTAAGATGATGGCCCAGTTGCCTTTGCTCTCTACCCTTATGATTCAGGCAGCAGAGGAGTCTAATATTCTCCAAAAAAACAAAAGTAGAGACTCTTCTAAATCAAATGGTATCTTCCTCTGCTTAGTCTGGATTCCTGCTCACCTGCAGCAGAGACCTGATGCCCCTTTATCATTCTTTTACATGTCTCAAAATAACTTCTCAGTAATACACTAGTTCTGTTTACATGGGTACACAATCACTATTAACTCTGGTGTTCGTGTCTTAACCAAGCTGTGACCATCCAAGAACCAATGCACAGGATGGGTGTATAAAATCCCCTATAAGCTGTTTTCCCAGTGCTGGGTGCTGAAAGAGTTCACCTCATAGTGTAACTGAGCCACATTCTTACAGGCCATTATAAAATTGGGGTTTGCTACACCGAAAGATGCCACCACCGGGAAGCTGAGGCTGGAAGAAAACGCTCACTTGTAAACAGCTACAACCCGTGTGCTTTCTCCAACCCGTCCTCCCACCATAGACCTCATGCCTTCCAGCTGATGAAAAATGTACCAGCTTACTTAAACTGAAACTGCTGTTACTTGTGAGATCCCTGACTGCTAAGCCCCCACAAATTTATTTGTATAGAGTTAGTACCCTGTCAGTGTTTGTGTCACTGCTAAACTGACTCAGGTAGAGTTGTTTGAAAACTACAGCTATCATTTACAAAGAAAAAGGGGGATGTCACTGCTGCAAAAATTAGCTATTCTATTTTCTGTGTTCTAAAATGAAGGACTAATGCAAAAAATAATAACATGACCTTTAGCGTATATATGTAGGTTCAGGACCAAGAAATACACTTCAATATTGAAGATCAATTACCAAAAAGCAATTGGCTAAATTAATTAGAAATGTGAGATATCTGGTTCCTACATTCATAATTTTAAATGTAAACTTAAAAAATATTACTGGAAAGCATCAAATAAAAAATTAATATTTTATAGCCAGACAAGAAATAAAGTAAAATACAGAAATAAAACATAGATTCCTGTTCTGAGGTGCACACATCACTTTAAGTGGTATGAGAAAATTCTGGCAAATTCAAGGACGATAGATGTTAGTGGAAGTTCATTACTATCATCTTCATATTTCCATCTCTGGAGAAAGATGCAACCTCTTGTCTTGCACATCATACAATTTTCTTTGACACTTTCACGTAACAGTTTCTCTGAATGGTAACACCCATACTCTCACAAAATGTATGGAGGTTATTCAATGATCAGAAGCCATCTAGACAACAGACAGTTTCTCTAAATTTTCTTAAGGTACAGTGTGAACCCTGACTCACATGGAAGACTAAATAATCAACACTGACTCCTGCAGCAACTGAAGTTCTCCTGGCAGCTCTCCCAGCAAAGTACCAACCAACCTGTTCAGTTTATGATACCTAGCAGAATTGCAGCCTGACAAAGGCTGACGGCAAACGTGGCCTCTTTCCAGTGCTTGTCAGGACGAGTTCAAAAGATATACTCACCAGGCACAACTATTTGTAGATCCAGTGATTGCAAATAAATTATTCCAATTTGCAATAGCAGAAAATTTAACCTGCTATGGAGTTAATAGTTACTGCTTCCAAAAGCTTCGTTTTGTAGGGTGTTGCAAAAACACACTCCACTTGAACTATAAGAATCATCCATATTAATTCTGCCTTGGAAAGCACAGTTCAGGAAGATCAGCAGGCTGAGGTGTCACGCACTTCAGTGAGATACATTCAGCAGCACCAGCCCAGCAGTTAAAAAAACAGGTGAAAGATTTTGATACAGGTTTCCACACGACGCAAGTGACAATATACTTATTTAGGAGGAGCGGGGAAGAGCAACGGCACTTGCTACCAGTTTGTAGCTGTACCCGAACGAGGTGTACCTTCACTCCTGCACGACGCCCGTGAGGGACAGCGCCGTGTCCCCGGGACAGCCCAAGGCCAGGGCGGGACACCCCGCACGGCACCCTCTGCGCGGGCCATTCGTCCCTCGCCTGACGCTCAGGGCACAGCCGGCGTTTACAGCTCTCATCCCCAGCTCACTGGAGTGATTACGGTACTGGCCCTACGCCTGGCCCGCAGAGAAAACCCTACAGTTCAACCAGTGCCCGCATCGACACGATTCGTTTCACTGATCGGCAAGGCGGAGTCTGAGGCGGCTGGGCTAAGGTAGATCCTCACTGACAGGGGTGGGCTGAGGCTGCTGGGCTAAGGTGGATCCTCACTGACAGGGGTGGGCTGAGATGGCTGGGCTAAGGTGGATCCTCACTGACGGGAGTGGGCTGAGGTGGCTGGTCCCTCCTTGCCCCGGGACCCAACCCCGACGGAGAGGTCGCAGCCCCGCCCAGTGGATCCCGCCCGGGCCCCGTGAGGCGCGGGCGCCTGGACCGCCGAGCGTCCGCACCACGGAAAGACTACAGCTCCCTTCATGCAACGCGCGACAGCGCCACTCTCCCTTGCGGCGGGGCGCCGGCACCGAGTCACGCCCGGCGGCGCGCGCTGCATGCCGGGCGTCGTTGTTCTCCGAGAGTCTTCTCCAGCCCCGCCCCGCGGGAGGGGCGCGGTGCCGGGCCCGGGAAGCGCCCCGTCCCCGCCTCTCTTCGCCCTCGTTCCCCGTGTGAATTGCTTTCGGATCGCTCGCTGAGTAGCGCCTTGGGTGTCTTCCTGAACAGGTCTCCGTGTCCTTCCGCAGGTCCCGTAAGTTCCTGCGCATCCCACAACGCTGTCAGAGCTGGTTTGTCCTTCGGCGCTCGCCGTAGGCCGCTGCCCTCCCGCTGCCGGCGCCTTTGTGCGGCGGCGGAAGGGGCGCAGGGGCGGCGGAGCGGGGCCGGAGCGGGGCAGGAGGCACCGGCAGGTGCGGGGGCCGAGTCGCGCTCGGGCCGCTGCTGCCCAGGGGGAGCGAACGCTCCTTCCGTGGGGCTCGCCCTGCGGAGCGAGGGCCGGGCGGCAGGGTGGGGCTGGGGGCGGCCTGGCCGGGGCTCCCTGAGGGGGAGAGACCGGGAAGTGCCGCCGCCTCCTGGGCCGCGGGTGTGGGGGAGGACCCTGCCGGGGCGGCCGGGCGCGCTCCCCGGTGCGGCCCCCATGGGGTTTGGGATGGGTGCTTTAGTTCTGGCGGCACCAGGTTCGTGCCGCTGTCAGCCCCGGGCGAGGCGGGGCGGGGCGGGCGCCCCTCTCGCTCCTCGGGAATCCCTTCTCTAGACGGGCGGGGCGGGGACCCGCGGTGTGACAACGCACCTTCCTGGTGCTGTGCCAGAGTGACACGGGAATGCCATTCAAGAAAGCCGACCGTAGAGTATTTATTTATTGGGACTTAAATGTTTACAGAGGACATATTCGTGTCCTCTGTAAACGTTTAAGTACTGGTAGACGTCTGAGGCTTGCAGCATTTTGCATTCTTGTCTGTGCTTAGGTGTGCAGTGCAAACGCAGGTATTCTTAATTTTGAATTAGTGCGTAGTTATATTACTAATGCATAATCCTGTGTCCTCGGTGTCAAGCTTAGTGTAAAAAGCATTTATTGTAGAACCACTCAGTTGTTGTAGAACCACTTCTACATTTTCTTTTCAGACTTAGATTTCCTTAAAAACAGTAAAATTAAGCTGGTCTCCATTTAGTCTGTTCACACAATTTTTCATACCTGTGTTCTAAATCTTTGTTAAGTTCTAAGTTTGGGAGTTTCCCACTTTTTGTTGTTGACCTTCTCCTCTGTATCTGAGTTAGTTATATAGCAAAACTTTTTGTAGCATTTTTGTCTTTAAAAGATCCACCAATTTCTTAACAGTGTACAGAAAGTTTGGGGACAAAAATTGATAATACACATATTTTATAGTTTTCTTTGACCATCACACTTGTACTTACATTGTCTTGTAGTTTATAGTAATGCTACTAAATCTCTTAATAAATATTTTGAATCATACGGTATGTAGAAGTATATATAGTTTACATGCTAAGTTGTAGTGTGCCAATATTTAGCTGTTGAAGTGAAAAGTGAAAGATAAATACTGTCTTGGTGCTCTCCTTGCTGTTTTCAGTCTCAGTTGGCTCTGTAGCTGTACAGAATCCTATGGCAAAATCAAATACTCCCGTCTTCAGTACCTAATGTTTCTTTCAAAGTAGTTCCTTCAAACAGCATCAGAACTACCTTAAGAATGGATGCTGTCACCATGTCATAGTTCTATCTGTTTTAAATCAATCCCTTGAGAATGTGTTAAGTGAAAGAAAAAAGGAAATAGGGAAGTGATTTTTTTTTTTCAATTATTACTCTTTTTCATATTACTGACTTTTCAGGTTTGTGGTTGTGGTAAGCTAGTGTAATTTCTTTAAGGATAGCTTCTTTAAAGGAAAGCTGCTCTCTTAAAAAAAACTCAGCAAACGAAAAACCCCAAACAACCAAAACAAAACCCAAACAGTGATGTGATTTCTGTTGATCAGCATTTCAGCCATGTCGGACAAAAGTGAGCTGAAGGCGGAGTTGGAGCGCAAGAAGCAGCGATTGGCTCAAATCAGAGAGGAGAAGAAGAGAAAGGAGGAGGAGAGAAAGAAAAAAGAAGTAAGAAATAATTTTCGCTTTGAAGTTTGGCTTTGCATATGTAACTTGCCCAAAATTTAAGGTTAGGTTCACATGATCATTTGCTACGTGTAGTTCAGGGAGTGTCTATTTAATGGCTGGTGCCAGTACAAATGTAGTACTTCCATTGTCTGAGGAGAGCAAACACCTGCTGTTTTCTTTAGAATTGTCCATACGATGTTATGTATTAATTCTGGGGGTTTTTAATCCTACACTGGTATAAAGTTCTGATTTCTAAAACTACTTTGTGCATGTAACATCACTAATCAAATCACTGTAAATTATTGCCTGAAAGCTCCGCTTAATGAGTTAGAGTGGTGTTAACTAACTTCTGAAGTACAGTCCACAGGATGTCTATATGAATTGTCTGACTGTCAGTATTATCATTGTACAAATACTGTTCTACAGTCTCGTGCTCTTTGACCCATCTATAGGGTGAATTTTAAAGTCAGATCAGCACTCAGGATGTGTGTTAGACTTGGTTTGCTAACATTGTCTTCTGGATTTCTGTCTTCTAAAGGATGTGACAATCAGAGATTTATTGCTGTTTCTCCTGAATGCAGATTATGCCTTATAAAAGAAACTTACTGGAATGTTTGGGGATACTTTTTCAAGACTTCTCTGTTTTGGTTATAATCTGGTTGGTGTTCCAAATTGGGATATGACTGAAGACTGGACAGCTGCCAACTACATGATTCAGACAAAAAGGAGAGGGAAATATCTCAAATTATGTTCTAATGATCTTGTAACAATGTATTGCCTGTATCTGAGATTCCACATGTGATGCAATAGCTTAGCAGCTGAGAACTTGCTCTAAAATTTGGGAATTGCTTTTTAAAAAAGCAGTTAAATGATTGTGGAAAGATACGGAGTGTTCAGCATCTTTTACGGTAGAGTTTGCCTTATGTCTAAATTAAAGAGGAGGAGGTGTAGGGTTTTGAGTGCTTTGTTTTTTTAAATCTGGCAGATAACACAACTTAAAGAAAACTACTTTTCCTTGATACAGTCATTGTAATTTCAAAATTATAACAATATGGCAATGTCTCTAAAACACTTTCATACACAGATACATAATATTATTTCTTCAGTCTTTGCATTTTACAGTGTTTAGCATTAGTGTAAAAAAAAAGGTATTCTTAATCTTATGAAGTGTTATTCATTGTGGCACACTTTTTGGATGTTTATATATGTCTTTTAAAGACAGTACCAAAGCTACAGAACTTTGTTATTCCTGTCTACTTTATCTACAAAAAGGACCGTCAGAATTACTGGAGTCAAATACTTAACCTGTATGATGATAGGTTTCAGAAGAACAAAAAAGCCCTATGAGGTCTCAAAGTAAATGAAAGGTTAAATGCTATAACTTAATTATTGAATCACTTTTAGACTGACCAGAAGAAAGAAGTTCTTCCTGTACAAGAAGAATCTGATCTTGAAAAGAAGAGAAGAGAAGCTGAAGCATTACTTCAAAGCATGGGGTTAACACCTGACTCTCCCGTTGGTAGGAATGTTAATATTTGTTTGAGATGAATGTTTGAGATTTTTTTGTTTGGTTTTTTTGGGGGGGTTGTGTTGGTGGGGTTTTTTGTGGTGGTGGTTTGTTTATTTGTTTTGGTTAGGGTTGAGGTATTTACATGTCTAAAATAAAAATTCTCTGGCCACTTTTTTGGGGGAGTGTACATGTCTGATTTTAATACTAATTTGTCCTCATGGTCTTTGTTATAAATGCCAAGTGATGTGCTTCAGTACACATTACATTACTCTTTTGTAAAATATTAGTATTTTGTAAAATATGTTGTATATTAGATAAAATATATAAATATCATGTATGTGTTTTATTCCCCCCTATTTTTCCTGCACATTATTCTACTGTACTTTTTCTCTTTACTCTTTTTCATAATGCCAAATTTTAGTGCCAGTATTTTTGTTTGGAGTTGGCGTGTTTCCTTTCTGTATCTTTTACACCCTTGTTTTTCTTATGTCATTTACCTGACTGACTTTGATGGAGCTTTAGCAAGGCTGAGTATAAAAATTAACTACCAAGGGTGATGATTGATACCTGTGCAGCATATTGGTTGTTGATTTTTGCCTTTACGTAGACACATTGCTCTGGAAGATGAAAGCAAAGAGTGTGATAATTCAACTCCACTTTTTGTCTCTAACTCTGAAATTGAAGAGATTTAAAGCTTGTCAGTTTGGCTCATTGGTGAGGTTCTATTTCAACTGGGTTTGTAAATAACTAATAATAATTTCTTATGGATATAGTATATCTGTGATTATATTTTCATAATTGCTTTTGCATAATCCTGAAGCATTCAAAAGCAAGCATGGAATAAACACTCTTACTGCTGGTTCCATTCCAACAGCCACAGCAGTCATTTCTGGTAATTTGAACTCTTTGCATTGTTGAGAGAGTGCATTTGGGCTATGTTAGCACTGGCATACAGCTTTTTAAGTAATCAGTTCTGACCTACTACTGATTTTGCTTGCTAGACTAATGGTTGAACACTTCCCTTGCATAAAGTTTTACCAAGGCAGTTGATAAGACTTTTGTAGAAACTTGTATGGCTATTGGTTTTTTTCAAATCTGTGAGAGGATCCAAAAACCACAGAATAGTCAGTCCTCAAAGCAAATCATTGCGTAGGCTCAGAGTAGCTGTTCATGAAGAGCTTGGGAGCGTTGACATCCAAGACTGGTGCACAGCCCTGCGGGTTGTGGTTAATTCCACTGAGCATCTACTTGACCACACCCTTCAGTGGAAAGTTTGCAGGGGATTCGTTCTGTTCCCTTTCAAGATAACCAGATCTGATGTGGATCCTAAATCAAGCTAATATATCCTCCTCGGTACCTTGCAATTAGCATGCCTAAGGCACAGGCTCCTTTTCTGCTGGCTGGATACTGGCAGATGCAGTGATCCTGTCCCTGAGCTGAAGGTGGCACTGTCGGTGGAGGTGGATACCTTGACGTTAGATTCCTTTATAGAAAATTGTATTAAACATTCCTAAGACAACTCCTGTCCTGTTAACTGCCAGAGAGAGAGAGAGCTCTCCTATGGGAGGAGGGACCACAGCAATGTCAGTATGATTTTGATATCTACTGTATTTCTTATATAAGAAGCCATAAGTTAGTGAACCAGAATTACTTTCGAGAAGGTATTGTAGTTGAATCGTCTGTCGGGGTAGGTGAAATTTCATTTGTTCTTTTCGTAAGATGTTGGTCTCTCAATGGGATTCCCCTCAGTTATGGGAGGGCTCTCCCGAAAATGGCTTTCCCCACAAGAGGGCGGTGCAGCACCAGCGCTGGGCGCGGGTTCCTCGGGCTGCGCGTCCTGCGACCTCAGAATTTCTCTCAGCGCGCCTGGTAATGCACAAAAACAGCGGTAGAAGGGCCTGTGGGCGTTTCCTTTGGGGTAAATTAATCGTGCATGGCGATAAGGAGTTGAAGAACATACATCCCTATTTATATAAATATGAAGTCTGAGTATGTTTATGTGTGAATTAACAAAATATAACTCTAAACCTATAAAAAACTTCTCTCCTGTTGGAAGAATGATTTTTTTAAAAAAAATTGAGGAATTCACTGTGGGTTTTATAAAATTAGGGGAGAATTTTTTTCAGCGAGAGTCGTGTCTCTGTTTTGGGATGGGATGGAAAAATTCTCTCGAATTCACAATATACTTGTGATTTCGGGAAATTCTGTAGAAATCTTGCAGATCTAAATTCAGAGTTCTCCTATGCCTGACCCTTGACAGAGTAGATACCATTTTATGTACGTAATTTGTGTTCTGTTGATTAAAGGTACTTTTTAAGGGTTCCTAAACAGTGAATGTTTGACATATTACTGAAAAATGAAGCATATGAGTAGCTTCAACACACCCCCTGATTCTTAAGTATTAACCCTAAGTTTCATTAAATAATAGATTTGGCTATTTCTAAAAAAAGTTGAAAGAAGTGTCAAAATAACTTTGTGTTTGTATCAGATTGCATGATATCATTCACTATTATGTATCAGCTGCAAAAAACATGTTCCTTTTTAAAGTGTGAATGCAGTCTTCACCTGTATGCTGAAAATGAACTGACTCTTAAGAAAAAGTTTCAGTATAGCAGTACTAGACTGTTTACTGTCAAGTAAAAAAGAAAATCATCCTCAAAACCCAACTCTAGACACAAGATTTGTGTGGATTTGATTCAAACTAGAACAAAAATAACCGCATGCTGCATGACAAAGCCACTTTTTGGTCCACGTTTTAGTGATCATATATTTTGAAACAACATTGCCAATTTAACACTTTCATTGTCTAATTTTTAACAAAGACTGATGTCAAAGCTGTATTAACAACTATCCTTTTTTATGTTTAAGCAACGTGATCTCGTGGAAATTACCCTTTGAAAATCGATGTCATCATTTGTCAAAAGTTCAGTTTAAAGATATTTTTTCAGTTCATTTTCTCTTAAATGTCTTTCGCTCCATGTTTTTTTTTGTATGCCCCAGATGCATAAATGCCAAACAATTGCATGAAAGTCCAGCATGAATTGTTAACATTGTCTTTTCCCCTCTCTTTCTGCTGTTCATTTTCACCCATGTATTTTTTTTGTTTGCCATCACTTTTTTTTTTTTTAATACTTCATTTTAAATTAATTTGAAAACATCCTAAGCCGTGCAACCTCTGCGAGTAGTAACAGCGGATACCTGTCTGTTTCACTATTTAGTCCCTCCTCCTACCTCTCCGTCTTCCAAATCCGTGAGTACGCCAAGCGAGGCCGGGAGCCAGGACTCCGGAGATGGTGCTGTTGGATCCAGGTACGTCACTTTCCTTGTCGTGTTGCTTTGCTCAGTACTTGTATTTTGAATAATTCAGCTTCAGAAGGAGTCAAGATCAATTACTTGGTTATAATAGTATGAGGTTACAGTGTACAGGATTGTTTTGCAGAAGTGCTTTACTTTAAAATTTGAAGTGCAACTACAATAACGTGGAGTTGTTTAAACTTGCAAGTTTAAAGTAGAATGAATGTCTTGGGACAACAGCAAACTGGAAAAGTCCAACTTCTGGGCTCTTCCAGCTTTTTTTAAAGAAGGGTGTGTATGAATGGTAGTGTACTTCCCTTTTTCCTCAGTCCTAGTTGGTCTAATAAAAGACAATGTCTACAGACTTTGCATTACTTCTGGTTTTAATTTTTCCTTACTCAGAACCATATTTCTCATTTTGCAGCCATCCGTGTAACACAACTACAGCGCTTGCAATCTCTCTTATTTTGCCAAAACATAACACCATCTTAATGCAGCCACAGTCATTTTGGTTTTTTTTCTTTGCCAATACTTGCCCCATCTATTTGACCATTTCTTTGTACATGATGATTTGAGACAGGCTGCTGTAGAGTCAGATAAATATTTCTGTTATATATTCAAAGTGGTGATAAGGTGGGAAACACTACTTCCAAAGGGTATTTCTGCTGTTTCCTGGTCATGATCTGCGAATAAGAGCAGTAGCTGCCTGTTAATTTGCTGAGAAAATATCTTACCAATATTAAGTTCCTGCACTTAAAATTTACTAAATATGCATTGTGGATGAAATTTAGTTAAAGCACAGTAACCTCAGCAGTTATCATCAGTTACTTTTGATCTTATATGAGTACTTGTTTTGGAGAAGGAATGAGTATTTAGACCACTTTGAAATATCTTTTAAAAAGACTTCAGTGACATCTTGTATACATGTGGGTCATGCATTCTTAATTATATACAGTCTTAATCTGCAAATATTCAAAATGTTAATGGCCTGAACAGCAGTTTTATGGTGCCTATTTCTAAGTAGAAATCATTATGTTCAAACAGAGAATACATCAGGCAGCAAATATGAACTTTTTTTTAACAGTGCCCAGGTGTGATCTTGTTTGTCCATCATGGTAATTAAGAACCAATGTAATTGTTCCTTAACTGAGTAACAAGCAGATTTTAATTATTTTAAATCTGTCATTATTGCTTATTAAATAGTAATTTTATATTTAAATTCACTGTCTGGAAGAATAAACAAGAAGTACTTGATGATAACTTTTTAAAAAGAAAAGAACTTTTTCCATTCATACCTAATTTAAATTCAGTATGAAACAGTATGGATAGGCCACATACCTGTAACTGAACGCCATGTTGTGTGGTAAATTTATTTCTACCTCATCAGTGCACTGTGCTCTCTGATTGTATGTTCTCAAACATAGTAACACAGTGTTGTATGCATACATTTTCTTATGAAACCCTGAGAAAACTCATACCCTAAGCCTCAGTAGCTTCATGCATTTTCAAACTTTAAATCTGTGTCAAGATTGTGGTATTAAAGGCATGGAGGTATGAATGTACAGCTAAATTGAAGGCATTATAGAGTCCCTCTAAGAGTCCCCTTGCTTATTCTCTGATCACTGGATAATATTCTTCCTCTCCCCCGGGAAAGAGGTGTCTGTATCCCAGACTGTTAGTACAAGTTCATACATTTCTGACATACCCATCCATTTGAACCTGAAAGTTGGACTCTGATATCACTTGGTCTTTTTTCTGGTATTTCACAGGTGACTCATATCAATATGAGATGTGTTAGAAGGCTTCTTCTGTGATGCTGAATCTTGTCAGTAACTCTTTTACTAATTAGTAGAACAGTGTTCAGACTGTTCCTGCTGTTACTTCCATCTGTCTTGCTTTGTTTTCATCAGTAAAGAGTTGTTTCCTAGTTTGAGCCTGGTTTTTTCCCTTTTCCTCAGTTAAGAGTATAAGTTTAAGACTAGAAATTAATACAGTTGGTTTACTTTTTGGCTTGGTGGATGCTTAATAGAACTAGTTCAGAAGCAAAAAAGACTTTTTAGAGATATAGGAGGCATTAGGAATGTGCCTGGATACAGGGAAGTTCAGGCATATGTGGAAGAATGGGCACTTCTGTTAACTGAAGCTTGTAGATAAATTCATTTAACTCAAGGCATAATAAACAACTGGAAAACTAAAGAAACAGTGGTTTACATCATTTTAGTACATATGTAATAGTTGAATTTTATCTCAGAATGTTATCTTTATTTTAAAAGAATATCTCTGAGAAACATTTAATTGTTTATCCTGCACTGTTTGTTGACTTAAACTATTTTAAAAGACAGACTGTCCCTGGCACCACTGCAACAACTCTTGAAAGTGAAAAGAGTGCTTTGAAAGCAGGAAAGCCACCTCAATAAGGGCTAGATCTTAAGCAGGTGCAAACGTTGGAGCCTTTTAGATTTGTAGCCCTTTCCCCAGGTTCCTCTCAAATGGGATTGAAAAAGTTGAGAAAATGTTTGACAAGTATTGTGATGATGCAACATTTGTATCTCTAGCTAAGTTACCCTTTGCAACGTGAAGTTTTGGGTGGTGGTTTGGTTTTGCTTATAATGCATATGACATGAAATGCAATATACAGCTTGAAGTCTCAGGCACCAGATTAAACTCCAAGCTTAATTCTCTTTGTCAAGAATGATAGCAGAGATGTAACAAATAAGTATACTCAAACTAATTGACTTCAGGCTAAAATCATGTGTTTTCTGATGCACAAAAGATATGAAAAGGTTTTGGAGATATAGGTGTGAAGTTATTGCTGTGGATGCAATTGATTTGCTAGATATGAAGACAGTGGATTTATAATTCTTAATTAAACTATGATTAATACTTCTAATGCATACTTTCTACAAGAACAAGGTAGTGCATGACACTCATATTTATGAGCTTTTATGGCATTGTGTGTACATTTTTCAGATCAACTTTGCTTTTAGGAATTCTGCACCTGATTTATAGGAAAGTTACCATGTATGGGTTGAAAATGTAAAATTACTTATTTTCTTTATTCAAAAATATGGTATTTTTATATATATAAAATAACACCTGAGGATTTCAGAAGAAACCATGCTTGTTATCTGTTAATCTCTTACAAGTGCGTTTTTAAAATTCTGCCCAAGCCTGATAGCAGCCAATAGACTACATGAAAATTTGTGAAGAAAGGATGAAAAATGAAGGGGGAGGGAATATTGATTTCCCCCTTCATATTTCTTCTGATACAAAAGCGACTTGAAATAGATCCATTCTGTTCATTATTCCACATGACTTTGAAACGTATTATTAATCCAAAGCCCACTATTTCTAAGAGATTTTAAGTATCTTAAATGGAGTTGGCTCTAACTCAGATGACACTTACAAGCCCAAGGCAGTGCTTAACCCATAATTACTGCAGTGTCACATCTTGGAAACTCTAGCAGTTCTCTATCCCAGTGGAAATGCTTTTTTACCCCACTACCAAAAGGCTTATGTGTTGACTCATTTCCTTTACCAATATGACAGTTTCCCCCACATATTTACTGCTCTGGGCAAGTTTGCATTATGTTAACAAATCTGTCTTCATATGACATGAACAAATTTGAACAGATTTTAAAAGGAATGTGAAGTTTCTAGTGGTTCTTGTCAGTATTTTTATTTGCCTTTCATAAGAGCTACATTTTTTGCAAGTCTTTAACTTTCAATCTTTAAAATAGTTTAATTCTTTGCTGATAGCTCTGAATTCTGTGTTTGCTTCTTAACTTTTATAATTACTGCATGTGTTATTGCACTGAGTGCTGAATTTCCCATAACTGATGTTGCATTGCCTCGTTTCTTGTGAATAATGAAATAACTATAAGCTTGCTGTAACTCTAGAATTTTATAGTGTGTATTTGCTTCACTAATCTCTGGCCTTTTTTGCTAATGCTGCATGATTGTTCAACCTGGGGTATCAGGACGCTGCATTGGGATACTGATCCATCAGTTCTTCAGCTCCACTCTGATTCCGATCTGGGGTATTGCATAGATTTCTTATATTCCCTCTTTCATATGCTTATGGATAATATGTATATTATTATACTTACATTATATATATAAGAGCCTATTTTTTCTTTAAGACTTCAAGTTGTGGTTGTTAAGAAACTGTTCTGTAAGTAATAGAAATTCACTGTCCCTAGACCTAGCACAATTTGCGTGTAATGGGAAATTTTTATATTATTTAATATACATTAGATGCTTATTTCTAATAACAAAACTTATTTGTGTTTTCCTTTGAGTCTTTCTTTGACAAAATGTAAACTTTAGGAAGTAATTTATTTAATATAAAAAAGTTAGAATGACTGCATTTAAAAACAGAGCAACTCCCGTCTTTTCTTATAAATATGTTTATAAAAGCTGTATCTCATTATAAGCACTTACTAGAACCTGTATTGTGCTCTAAGAATTATGATTCTGCTCACCAAAACCTTTCAAAAGGTGTTACTCTTCCACTTTTATCTCAGGAAAGGAGTAGATAATAAAAAACTCAGTTTGATATAGGTAAATTGTTGGATCGTTGCAGTATTATTACAGGACATACTGCAATTAGCTTTTATAGGAAGCTACAATGACTGAATTAATTTTGTGCCAGTTTTGGAAGTACATTATATATTGTAGTTTGATGTTAGCTATATCTACCTTTATAGGATCTTCCATGAACTAAAGCCAGAAAGCTCAGAGGTTTTCAGTATTGTGCTCTGGAATAACATATTATGGATAAATCACTTGTCAGTGTGAATTTCAGGTTAACTTGCAGTTCTGCATTCTAAACACTGTGTTAGAGCTGAACAAAAAAAGGGCAGCAAAGTTAAAAAACTAGGAAATGCTTTTTCCTGCAGAATAACTAGGTTGGTTTGCAAACTTTAAAATCCTAGAACTGTTGCTGTACAAACATGACTTGTCAGCAGATCTGTTCCACTGAAAATAGGGATGTGTCATATATGTGGCAGTACTCTGGTCAAACGGAAAGAGCAAAAATTTAAAATTATGTCCTACAGTCCAGCTATTTATGTATGCATATATTTGTTTTTGTCACAGATGTATAAATAGCTGATTTTAAATAATAATGATAAAATATTAGTCATAATTGTGTGACTTCTTCAGAGTTGAGCTTTCACTGGATTTACGTTTGACTAAGCAGTGCTGTGACAGGATGACTTGGGTATTATTGTGGGCAAAATATGAAATAATTAATAAAGTTAATTTTTTTTTCTGATTTCTGTATTAATTTTATTTAGACGTGGACCTGTTAAACTTGGAATGGCCAAAATTACACAAGTTGACTTTCCTCCTCGAGAAGTTGTTACATATACAAAGGAGACGCAAACACCTGTTATGACTCAGCCAAAGGAAGGTGAATGATTAACTTATTACTACCTAAGTTATTTTTTGGTTTCTTCGATTATAATAACAATGACTGGCTGAATTAAAACCAGCATTTGTGATCTTGAAACTTAATAAGGTAAATGAAGGTTGATATGTGAGATAATTGATATAAATTCTGTTATTAAATTCTTACAGGTCTTGCTAACTGTCATTCCGCATCTTGTTTAACGTCACTCTTACTACTAATACGTGGTATTTTCACACTCCTAGTAACTGTTCAGATTAGACACTGAGTTGCTTAATTAGCTGACAGCTGATAAATAAATGGGATATATTTTGCATTTATGATGTTTTAGAATACACACACAACCTGGCACATGTAGGACAGGGACGTGATTTGAGACAACTGGCATGGCTTCACCAAGGGCAAGTCCTGACTGACCTGCTGGCTTTCTGCAGTGGAGTGACTACATCAGCGCACAAGGGAAGGGCTACACATGTCATCTCTTTGGACTTCTGTAAGGCCTTTGACACAGTCCCCCACAACACCTTTCTCTATAAATTGGAGAGAGATGGATTTGGTGGGTGAACTGTCAGTTGGATAAAGAATAGGATGAACAGCTGTATCCAGAGGGTAGTGGTCAATGGTTCAGAGTCCCAGTGGACATCAGTGACAAGTGGTGTCCCTCAGGGGTCCGTACTGGGACTAGTGTTATTTCATACCTTTGTTAATAGACAAAGGAATTGAGTGCACTCTCGGCAAATTTGCAGGTGACACAAGGCTGAGTGGGGTCGTTGACATGCCTGAAGGATGGGATGCCATCCAGAGGGACCTGGACAAGCTCTAGAAGTGGGGCCATGGGAATCTCCTGAGGTTCAACAACACCAAGTACACTTGGGTTGGGACAACCCCCAGTATCAACACAGGCTGGGTGGATGAACAGACTGAGAGCAGCCCTGCTGAGAAGGACTTGGGGTGCTGGTGGATGAGAGGCTGGACATGAGCCACCAATGTGCACTTGCAGCCAAGAAAGCCAAACGTGTCCTGGGCTGCATCAAAAGCAGATCAGCAGGTTGAGGCAGATGATTCTGGCCCTCTTCTCCACTCTCCTGAGACTCTACCTGGAGTACTTCATCCAGCTGTTGGGTCCCCAGCAGAGGAGGGACACACACCTGTTGGAGCAAGTCCAGAGAAGTGTCACCAAGATGATTAGAGAGATGGTACACCTCTTCTATTAGAAAAGGCTGAAAGAATTGGGATTGTTCAACCTGGAGAAGAGAAGGCTTCAGGAAGACCTTATAGCAGCCTTCTGTTACCTGTAGGGGTACATGGCTAGGGTGAATGGCTTTACACTGAAAGAGGGTAAGTTTAGATTAGATATTAGGAAGAAATTCTTTACTCTGAGGATGGTGAGGCACTGGCACAGGTTGCCCAGAGAAGCTATGACTGCTCCATCCCTGGAAGTGCTCAAGACTAGCCTGGATGGAGCTCTGAGCAACCTGGTCTAGTAGAAGGTATCCCTGCCCACAGCAGGGAAGTTGGAACTAGGTGATCTTTTAAGGTCACTTGCAACCCAAGCCATCTTGAAGGCTGTGTATCCTTACACCGACTTAGCAATTAACTCCCCTGCTTCTTAAGAATTTGAATTTTTATACCTGGCACTTGTACTTTGAGTTTTAAAAGAAGGAACTAATTTATTTATTACCTTATGCAGCCATTAAACATGGGCTTTCTTTCTGAGTTGTTTGCTTTTCAGAAAATAAATTTTTCCGAAGAAAATGTGGTTAGTTAATAAATTTGCTTTACAATGTTGAAATACTTGAATTTAGCTGCAAACGAAAATACTAGTCTTGACCTGACTTGTGTGTAGTTCTACAACACAATCTCTTGGTAGTTTAATGTGACTGACTTTGAGTATGTGTCTTTGCTAGCAATTTTAGTACCTAATTCTAAATTCATAATTTTGCATTTTCCTGCTCTTTAGTATGTGAACTTTTGGGTATTTATGCAAGGATATATCTTCCAAATTTCATTATTCAGAGAGCCAGAGGATATGCTTTTTTGCTAACTGTGCTTCTTTTCCATTCTTCATTTTGTCTGTATCCCTGCACAGGTAAGTGTTTAGGGTTTTTCTGCTTTCATTTCTCCTATGACCTTAACGTTTCCTTTCTCTAATCCCTCAGGTCTCTTTTTCTTTCCTCTGTCAGGTTCATGGAATCTGAAGACTCAGTTCATAGTTTATGTGCTTGAAGAGTTTTATTTCTGCTGCCTGCTGACAGTGGAAATTGCTTGGAATTGTATGATCCGAGTTTCACAGTGGATAGGCTGTAGTTGAGGTTTACTGTAGTGCAGTTGGAAAGGTGGTCATCTTTATTTCTGCATTTACCAGAAAGCTCTGTAATACATGTGTTGTCTCCTGATCCATTCCACCTTAGAAATACTGATTTCTTTAGGGCCATCATAAATTTTTTAATGTATGTGTGCTTACAGGTGCCTTTTCATCATATTAGTGTCAAAGATCTTTTTAAGGTCTATCTTAAGACTGCATGAATACATTCATAATTAAGCTCTGTGTTCACATTTTACAATGACAACACTAATAGGATATAGGCTTAAAAAAAGAGTAAATCATGCTGCCTCCAAAAAAGGAGTCACTAGGTAAGAGATTTTTATTGTGGTAAGAAAACTTTGAACTCTTTAAAAACAATTGACAAAAGCAATATGCTGAATTTTTGGGTGCAGTTAGATAAATTTAAATTCTATAAAATGTGGCTTATAGACTCTTATTCTCACAATCTGAGTTGTCGTGGCTTTTATTTATCTAAGAGCACATACTGTAAACAAAGTTACCTTGCAAAGTACACTTGAAAGTGGAGCTTGCAACTGGATTTACACCTGCAGTAGCTCCTTTGTACAGGAACAAAGTTGCATCTGAGCTTGGTTAGATCCAGTGTTCACACCTCCGTATAAAATGAAGTGAACCAGACCCTTAATTAATATATCTCGAGATTTTAAAATGCTGCTGGAGCTGTGCTTTTGAATAAAGGAAGATAGAAGCAGTTTTATTAGATATGCTGTGCAGTTGTTCTGCAGGTTTAGGTCCGCTCGTGCTGTAGGTTTCATTGTGCTAACACCGATTTGGAAGCGGGGGGGAGGAAATAACAAACGCACAACAAAACACCAAATTAAATAGTTCTCTCTGATCCAATTCTGTGTGGCACAGTGGTTTTGTAGTTGTATTGTAATCTGAATTAGGAAACATTCAAACTACAACTAGTCTGTCCCACCAGAGACAGATAAATAGGAAATAGAAGTAAATTAGTTTTAAAACAGTTTCCAGTTGTTATGGAAATGGCAACACATACCAAGTAAGTTAAATAGGAGAGACTTCATGTCCTCAACTAAAAGTTGGCATTTGGAAATGCCTGTTTTGGATTCAGTGTAACAGTTAAATTAATTTTGAAATGTGACAGCTTCCTTGGGTGATGAACAGCTTCCTTGGGTGTGCTAACAGTTCTTGCAACTTCCATTATTTTAGTGCAGTACTAATATGTTGATTTATTATGACCTCAAAGTATTTGAGAAACTGCCTGTCTTAGGAAGATTAAGTCTTTTTTATTGTAAAACAATAAAATTGGGGTCTCCTAGAAGTCAGTTTCACTGAGATTATAGGTTGAATCTTATTTAGAGTTGTAAGTATTTTGTCACAGGAAGTCATTCACTGTATACTGAACTCTATGGAATCTTAAACTTCCCCATTAATTGAAGTTAATAAACATGTTTCATATAGGAAGATGAACATGTTTCACTATAGGAAGATGCCCACATCCAAAGTACACTTAGAAGGTAAATTTGCAATACTTGTTGGGGTGTTTCTCCTCACACTATTGGTTTGATTTTTTTCTCTTAAATTTTCAATAGCCTTAGTTTTCACCCTCCTCTCTTGTAGCAGCTGTATTTGTTACCTAAAAGAAATGAAATGAAATGATGAAATGGTTCATTGTTATGAGGCATATAGCAGAGAAAATAGGTCCTTTTTTTTTTTGTGTTCTTTTGGCATGTTCTGTTTCCATTTTGGTGAGTTTTGTCATTCTGTACATACAGTAATGATGACCATCTTTTTTATTTAGAGACCAATTAAATTATTTTTGGCTTGGTAAAAGTGTTGTGCCATACTTGATGCTGTTCTCCCTTACTTGATAAACTAAGCCTGAGTGTCTCTGTCTGTATGCCATTACTACACTTCAGTAACTTGTCATGATCATAACATGAACATGCGGTGTTTAGGTTGCTTCATTCCGCAGCATCCTTTTTCTAACATCCCCTTTTTGCTATTTCTCACTGATGCTGTGTGTAACACTTCTCCTGCTTCTCTCATTGTTCAATTTTGGTGTGGTCAGCTGGTTATTAGGGCTGTTATTTAACCTCTATTTGGCAACGGATTTTTCAGATCTACTGTCTGAAAATACGTTTGAAATTATGTTCCATTCCTTGACTCATTTTTTTCTAGCAGGCAGCAGAAATTGTTTCAACAACAAAGATGTAATTCAGATGTGAACTCTGGTATGTCTTCATGTTCTGCAGGCTCTATGTTGGCCACTACACACAGTATTGTAATCATTGGTGTTAATTCTTTTTTTCTTATCTATACATCTTGCCACACTGGTCTCTACTATACTATTTGATCTCTTCCTTTGTGATTTGATAACATATTGTTCAAAATCACATGGAAAGAAATTAGTCACCAATATGCCCAGTAAAGATGTGTTCTGAGTCCTTGAAGTCATTAATTCAAAGAAAGATGGGATATAGGGGAATATGGTTTTGCTCAGCTGTCACAATTAAGGCAGACAGTATTAATGTATTAGCTCCACTCTTTGAGGAATAATTGTCTGCTAATGTCTCCAAGACATAGAATTAAAATATTAAGCAGAGTAATAACAGTATGGTGTATAGGATTTGGTTCTTGGATGCTGTTATGATGAATGTAGCATTTATGCATTTTAATATTTTAATAATAATAACAGACCTCTGTATATTCGTGTACGATCCCTTTCAACTCAGAATATTCTGTGATTCTGTATTATCTAGTACATGCCTTGAAATGTACAGTGAAATATAGATGGGAAAACTTGATATGAAGACATTCAGCTTAACAAAAGCCACCCATTTCACAGATGATTTAACTTTGATTAACCTACTCTGCAGCAACAGATTACTCAGACAACTGGAACTGCACTCTACAGTGTTTATTGCTAGGTGCAGCCTAATTTATAGCACTGCTTTTCTTTCTGTCTTGCCAAAATACATCACAATTTCGATGTTAGCTTAAAGTAAAAATTCAGTGGTTCATTAAATCTGTTTTTAGCATTCATTGACAAGAAATTTGTTGCCATTAAAGATTGCATAAAAATAGCAGCTACTTTGCTGCTCAGTTTGTAACCTTAGATCCCCTGTTCGCCTGTCAGAAACAATATGGTGTAAAGCCCTTAGCATATTATAATGAATATTCATTAATATGTTGATGTGACAGTCCCATTTCCTGTCTTCATGGCCTTATGACTTTTCCTAGTCTTAGCAGCCTTTTTTAAATCTGAAATTGTATTTGGTATACTGACAATTGAAGTGGCATAAAATGCCAGTAGGGACAGTCAATAATGAATAAGGGGGATGAAGTTAAGAAGTTCCCTTAAGGTTTCCAAATTGAGCTGGCTGACTTGAAATAAATGCACAACTGTATCGTGGTTCTTGACTTCATAAATGTGGAACTTTTTCAGAAATAGTGTGTCCAACCTTTCAGTCTTTGGGTGATACATTATTATTATGCCAATTCCTTGCAAATTCCAGCATCTTGCTTGTTATCAAATAAATTCAAGATAAAGGAGACACAAGAAAAGTAATTAAACATTTCTTACCTCTTTTGTAGTCCAATAGTTTAATGCTTCCTTTTTTGATCGTAAACTTCTCTGAGAAAGCATCCCAGGTTTGGATAAGAAGCATTCTAGTTTTGGATAATAAGGTCAAGAACTTGTATATGTGGGGGTTTTTTGTTTTGGGTTTTTTTCCCCTACAGATCTCTGAATGAGAAAGTTTGCATATGACTCTTTTTTAGGCAGAAGGTTTTAGATTTATGTAGTTACAGATAAATCAGTGAGATGACATGTTCAATTTCAAGTCTGATACTTCGAGAATATTAAAATAAGTGCTGTATCCTGCATTTAAATGCAGTAATATCAGCTGGCTGTATGCAGTGAAAGTACTATGAAGGAATTTAGAGCTCTGTATAATATATGCCATTTATGTTTCAAACATTAAAAGGCAGGAGCAATCAACTATATGATCTTTTGAATAAAATATGTAGATTAGAAGGTCACTTAGCACTAAGGGGTTGACCGTCTACTTTGACAAGAAGTTGACTCCTGTCACTGAAAATGGTACTTAGAATCAGTGTAGTATGACTAATGGGGGGTTGGGCTGAAATTTCTAATTTGGGACTTTCAAAGCTAGAATAATGTATCCAGGGTGACCCAAAACCAAATCTATAAATTTGAAGGCATCGTTTAATTCTGCAAGATTGATTGGCAGAGTGAACAAGAGGGGGATTTTTATCGAAGTGACTGTGATGTGAATATGTGGTCCTGTATTTGTTGTTCTTAAAATCCATGTATGTTAACTCATATTGCATTTTTTAATTAATCATTGTTCATACCTATAGTGATTTGACATTAGGAATTCCATTCTTTAGAATGGCTATAAGTTATACAGTTTTCAGGTTACAAGTCTGCTGTACATGCGAATCCATCTAAAAAGGAGCAGTGTCTTTCTGTTTCTCTGCGTGATTATTTTGCCCAAAAAAGCTTTCATTTTTTTTAAGTAGCACAAAAGCTGTAATTGGCATGCTTTGTAAGGAAGTGTCAATGTGCAAGAGAGTGGAGATCACTAAGAATTCTTTTACGGGTTCTTTCCCCTTTGCACCACCGCCTCCTCAGCAGGGTCACTGAGATCACTAGCTTTTCTTGAAATGGCCATTTTCACTGGCAGGTGCATTATACCCTGTATTTTCAGATTGTTTTTCCATTCTGAATGTTTGGCAGGTTGATTGCTCTGGCTGCATTGACGGAGAAAGGGCTGACAAATGCGGTTGGGCTGGCTGAAAAGACAGTGATTACTGTTTTCCTTTGTGGCTGATTGAGGCCCTTGAAAGGAAAGATTTTAACCTTCACCATTTGGTTCAAAAGTATGAGCATATATTGAAATCATTCATGCCATTTATCCTAGTTCTGTAAACTTGTCAGAACATAAAAATCGCTCAATTTCAAGTAATGTAGGATTGGCATACGTCATTATCATTTTGATTAAGTTGGAGTTTGTATTATTGTGTGCATTATACGGTGTCATTTAAAGCTTTCTTTCCTGCAGGTACAGTTATATTTTTATTGCCTATACTATGGAGTTAGAAAGATTTTCAGACCTCTTTAAACCTATCACTATGTGTGTGGTTTGGCAGCTGGTATGGCCTACAAGCTGTATTTTGTTTGCAGGGTAAAGGCTTGTCTGTAGACCTCCTGGAGTGCTGGTAATTGCACAGGCTTGCCATTGGGGAAAGACATGATTGGAAGCAGTCAGGCAGAAAAATGTTGTGCCATCCCATTGCCACCTCATAGTAGAGAGACAATCCTAGCAGTACCATCTGGTTGTTGCTATCTAGTCAGCTGGCCTGGCTGCTGGGACCATGGCTTGGCAGCTGGTTCCCATCCCTTAACCACCCCCTTTTTTTTTTAACCCTTTTTGTGTGCACGCATGTGGATTTTTTTTTTTCCTTTAGTTTTTGTGTTAGATAACTTTGAACATGGGTCAGGGAGAGGCTGCAACAAACAAGCCTAGTCCCTGTTGAATACTGTCTCATTACTTGTGATGAGGCATGCAACACTCTCCTGCTGCCATTCCCTTATAAGCAGATGACATAGCTGTTTAACCAATAAAAAGAGTCTTTTCAGAAGCTTATTCTAGAAAGTGGATGAAGAAAAGCCAGGAAATACATATTCCACAACACTAAGTAATTTAAAGGTATTTTCTGGTTTACAGTATTCAAAGAATAAAATGTAGAAATGCAGAAAGTGCCGTAAGCCTTGTCAGTATTCCCGAACATTAACATTTTGTTATTCATTGCAATTAGGGAAAACACATTTTCCTGTAAAGTTCTCATTGCCAAACATGATACAGATAATGAGACTTGCATCTAGAATGACAGAAAAAATGTAATCTCTCTGCTATTATCCTTAGCAAAATTTGCCTCTCGGAATAGCAACCTGAAAGCTAATGTAAGCCATCTTCATGCCATGTGCAGACCCATTAGACTCTGATGGTTTCAGATCACAGATAAGCAGCTGCTCTGTAGACTTAGACACTTGATTTTTCTTTATTCTGCAGCATTAATGTGTCAATGTGTTACACAGAACATGCATCCACCACATGGTTTTGTGTGGAATCATGAATGCCTGTAAGAGATTTCTGCTTTGGATTCTTTACAATTTCTTATGTGTCTTAGTTCAGTTTATGCAACTACATAATTTAGTGAACTAAAACCCAGGTGTAGACAGTATTCCAATGATGTTTTGGTTGCAATAATGTTATCCTGGGGACTGCATTTTACAAATACAACCATTTTAAGCTGCATGATACCGTTTTACCTCAGCTTATTTGAGATTCATATGGAATGTTACTGTTACTCTTTAGAAACACTGACAGTCTCACCATAATGTTTCTCCTTAGATGAAGAAGAGGAAGATGATGTTGTTGCACCAAAACCATTAGTCGAACCTGAGGAAGAAAAAACATTAAAAAAAGAGGAGGAGGAAGAAGGTACAGTTTACCTCAAGACATTCTCAGTGTGCTGTAAAGAAAGGCATCAATACATTTTTAACTTTTTGTTCCATTAATTTAAAATTAATTTGTTAAATATCAATCAGCTAGCAAAATATAAAATGTAAAAATTATTTTAAATCACGGTAAATACTCATTTTTCTTTCCTGAAAAGAATTGGTGAAAGCATGCAGTTCAGAAAACGTATGTATAAATTTTTTTCAGCTGCCCCTCATGAACTTACAGAAGAGGAAAAACAACAAATTTTGCATTCTGAAGAATTTTTAAGTTTCTTTGATCACTCCACAAGGATTGTTGAAAGAGCCCTTTCTGAGCAAATCAACATTTTCTTTGACTACAGTGGAAGAGACTTAGAGGACAAAGAAGGGTAATGTGAATGTTGAATACTTCCCTGTGAATGTCCAATACTTTTAATTGAAAAAGTGATCTAAGGTTAATATCTCCTCATTCTCTTTATAGAGAGATTCAAGCAGGAGCAAAACTGTCATTAAACAGGCAGTTTTTTGATGAACGTTGGTCAAAGCATCGTGTTGTCAGTTGTTTGGACTGGTCATCTCAGGTAAGAAATAATGCTTAGATTAAACGGTTACCTTTGTAAATTGTTCTGCGTATTTGACTCAAATAAGAAGTACAGTTGATACAGGCTGCATTTCTAAATATGTTCTTGCCATGATTTGCAAAAAGTAGACAGAGCTTGTTAATCTTTTGTGAAAAGTAGCAAAAGGTTTGTATTATGAAAAAAGTCTTTGGCATATTTGCTTTTGGTTTATGGACTACTTAAAGGTAACTCCGAGCTTCACTGAAAAGCAAGCTCACTTAAAAGTACTGGGTTTTACAGTTAAAAGCAAGTTATGATGAAAGAACTGATGTGTACATTAATGCTGTTTTATGAACTAAATTAGTAATAGTTTTAACTGACAATTTTTCATTCATTTGTAATGTGGTGATTGTAATGTAAGGTGATTTTTTTAACCCTATTTTGGTGAAAGAAAGCAAAGATTCTAGATTATCTGAACCATTAGCTAGTCATCTTCCTTACTTTGAGGTTTTTTTCCATTTACTGTGCAGTACCCAGAATTACTTGTAGCCTCTTACAACAACAATGAGGATGCACCTCACGAGCCTGATGGGGTCGCCCTTGTATGGAATATGAAGTACAAGAAAACTACCCCAGAGTATGTCTTTCACTGCCAGGTATGATTCTGTCTTGGGAGGCTCAAGATTTTATCATGATGAATTTGGACAAGTACCTTCCTGATGTTTGTCAATATAATAATTTCATTGGGCTGGCATTCACTTTAACCACACTTATTTGCCAACAGATGTTGATAGCTAGAGATTGTGGCTGAGAAACATTATCCTGTTTCAGAATTTCTGACATCATTCAGAATTCAGTCGTGTTTGAGAACTGATTTTCTTACTTTATTTAAAAAATAAAAAAGTCTTCTTGTGTAATGGTTGAACCACAGAGGTTTGTATGTAAGGGGATTGAGTGGGATTGCATATACTACTACAGCTTATTTTACTGAATAAAATGAAGACAGTCTGAGGAGATGGAGCAAGGATGAAAACTAGAAATATGCATCAAGAAAAAGGCAGATGAAAGTTTTCTAGTAGTTTTCTGAAAGATAAAAACATGCAAATCTCTTCCATTATGCCAAGCCCGAGATAGCCACTTTTTTTCTGTTGTTTTGGAAAATTACATAGTTGAATTGAAATTTAACCTCAAGTTGTCACATTACTGTCAAAGCCCAGATCGCAGAAGTAACTTTGTTGTATCAAAATGTATTTCTACATTCTCTAAGAAAATAAGCACAGAATTTGGCAAAACATTATCAAAATTTTGTGGGTTATTGGGCCTTCCTTTGCTAACAAACTGTGCTCAGAGGAATACAGATGTATGCACGTGAAAGAAAAGACAAGGAAAACTTCATTTTATAATGATAAAAAGACTGTTGAGGGGTCAAAAAGGGTACGTGAATCCTTAAGTTCATTGGACACTGAAACAGTGTATTGAATAAATCTAGGCAAAGAACTTGTTCTGATATTTGTCCTCATTTTCTTTAGACATAGTGTCATTGAATGATAGTTTATGTATATTTTGTTGTTTGTTTTTCTTCCTATCAGTCAGCAGTGATGTCAGCTACATTTGCAAAATTTCATCCCAATCTGGTGGTTGGTGGCACATACTCAGGCCAGATAGTGCTATGGGATAATCGCAGCAATAAGAGAACCCCAGTGCAGAGAACTCCACTGTCAGCTGCTGCTCACACGGTAGGAGGTGAAATATCTTTAAGGACTGTGCCATGTTGAGATGTGTTTAATGTCTAGGAAACTGTCCAGTGCACTTGATTGATTTTTCTGAATGTCCAAAATATGGACATGAACATTTAAGCATTATCAAAGTGTCAGAAAAATAAGTATCAGTTTTATAGGGGAGTATTTGTACTTTTGACAATCTGTTCAATCTTTTATGCTTTGTTAAAAGGTGAAGTTGTATATTTTACTGTATGTTAATTATATCAGAACCAGTTATTACCTGTAAATTCCTTTCTGATAGTATTTTACATTTCTTAGCACCCAGTGTACTGTGTGAATGTTGTTGGGACCCAGAATGCTCATAATTTGATTAGTATCTCAACTGATGGGAAAATATGCTCTTGGAGTCTGGACATGCTTTCCCAACCACAGGTAAGCTAACTTTGGATATATACACTATTTATTCCAGGTTAATATTTTGTAAAAAAATTTAACTAGCTTTAGAAACAGTAATCAACAGTTTCCCAACACCCAGAATTAAAATAGCTTGATATTTGATAAAATATTTGCCCACCTGTGGAATCAAATATTTTCTGTTGATCCTTTTGTATATTTTTGTTGCACTTTTATTAGTGGTGGAAACAATTTTAATAAGAAAACTTCCTTATTCCTGCCCAATCTATACAAGTGAAATAAAAACCCCTTCCTATTGCAAAATCTAAATGATTTTATAGGTGTTAATATTTCTTTTCATAAATTAAGTTGCTGATATTTTCACTACAGGACAGCATGGAGCTGGTTCACAAACAGTCCAAGGCTGTGGCTGTTACCTGCATGTCTTTCCCTATTGGAGATGTCAACAACTTTGTTGTTGGCAGTGAAGAAGGCTCAGTGTACACTGCATGCCGTCATGGCAGGTGAATACAAACTTTAATTATTCAAAGGAAATAAAAATAGTGAAAAGAAGAGTCCCTGCATGCTTTACACTCCTAAAATTATTTAAAGTGCATATTTCCTCCTTTGTGTTGAAGGAGTTCAAAGTAGCTGTTTGTGAATTGCAGTGCACACTTTTTCCTGAGTAAGAGCTTCCTTAAAAACAGGAGAAGTTGGAATACTGAATTGGTATTATGAGTTGTGTTGATGAGGACAGCATAGGTTACTGTGGCTTTATTCATTTGAATTGTAGCAGAACATTCCAAACTTCGTATCAGTTTTGTAGATAATTGTACAGTAACATCACGCACAAATCTTAAATTGGCTAGCTGTTCTCCTGCTGTTCAATCTATTTTGAAATTGTCTTGACTGTATCTTATCAATTGCTTTCTTAAATACAATTGAGTGTCCAGGTTTCATCTCAAATACATATCACCCTCGCTGCACAGCTTTTTGGTTCCAAAATACCCAAAATTGTATCACTTTTGTGTAACATCTTTCCCATCTGTTCCCCCCCTTCTTTTTCATTGCTCCTGATAGGAGGCTATTAGGGATATATTGTTACTGGTTTATGTCTGAACCCCGTGTCCATAAACTTCCCTTAAATCAGTGGGAGTTTTACGCTCATTCCCAAAGACTGGATTTTGTTCCTTGTGTAAATGGAAGTTTTAGCTATTGCTTGGAGGACAATGTAGTTAAATGTGTGGACTGGTACGTGCCGAATGAGTCTCTTCTCCCTGGGATATATTCTGGCACTGAGGGTTAGTAGAAAATAGATGTTGAACTTAAGGTCTGTTTTCAAGCCTGGTCTTCTGCGATCCTGCTGTGGTGAAGCCTTTTGCAGTGAGGTAACATCCATATAAAGCAACAAAATCTTCCTGTGGCTATGTTTAAATTGCATTTCAGTGCTATCTCTGTCTGCAGATGTACAGTTTCCAAATAAATTAACCTTGGTTGTATATTCTGAAACAGCAAAGCTGGAATCAGTGAGATGTTTGAAGGACACCAGGGACCAATCACAGGTATCAACTGCCATGCAGCAGTTGGACCTGTAGACTTCTCACATCTTTTTGTCACCTCTTCTTTTGACTGGACAGTAAAGCTTTGGACAACTAAGGTAACTTAGATAGTTCAGTGGTTTTCTTCGTAGCCCTTGACACAAGGTGGTGCTATAATGTAAGCTACTTAAGGCAGTTCACTAACCTGAAGTCAAATCCTGTGAAGCCCTGAGGTTCTTAGCTGCAGTCCTGCAAAGAGGAGGCAGCTGATGAGCAAAACTACATGAGTTAACAACATAAAGCTTTGCTTTCAGCTTGTGCATCATTTGTATACTTCTGATCCATTCTTTTCACCCTTTTGCCCTTTGTTATCAACAATGATTACAATGTAATCAAATGTAAATCATGTTGTAAAGTCAGTTGCTTCATATATTCATAAGGCAAATGTTTTGCTACAATTTTTGTGGAGGACTAAGGGACAGCATTGAAACTGATGTCAGTTAAACTTCATGAGGCTCACAATTGAAATATGTCATTCCCATTGCCAGAATTACTTCTTTGTCAGTTTGATGCCCTGAAGAATGCAAAGCAGAGGAAGCGGAGTTAGAATCTCCCAGTAATAGTCTGAAGTGCTGTCAGTGAATTATCATTGGCTTGATTTACAAGATTCTTAATGTGTTAAATTTACAGTCTTTTAAAATGTTGTCTTGCTATTGTTTTACAGTAGCAGCCAGCAAAAGGGCTGCATGCTTTGGAAAGCATACCTTTAATAATAGCATTAATTTTGGGCTGGTTTCTGCAGAGGCATTTTTTTAAAGCAAGTCAAAATGTGAATTACTTTTTAGTTATATTGAAGTTCTCTATTTTGGTTTGCCCTTTAGCTTTATAATTTTGAATTGCAGGGTTTGGGTATTGCATTTTCATCTTTGCTTTTTTTCAGAATAACAAACCTCTCTACTCCTTTGAAGACAACTCAGATTATGTGTATGATGTGATGTGGTCTCCAACTCACCCTGCCTTGTTTGCCTGTGTGGATGGGATGGGCAGACTTGACCTGTGGAATCTCAACAATGATACTGAGGTGAGGAAGTCAGGTTAACAGTCAAATGTAGCTGGAAAACTGTTTGTACACTTACAAAAAAGTCAAGAGTTTACCATAGTGTTTTGGTTTGGTTTTTTGTTGTTCTCAGATATTCTGTAGTTCAAGTAGCTTCTGTGTAATAGACTGCATTCTTTGATTACAGGGTTGCAACTTAGATGACTCCTTACAATGAATAACAGCAATAATTGTTTTACCTGTGACAAGAGTGCAAAAGGTCTACTGGTGTAACACTGATCCATTTTGTGAAAGTGATTATAGATCTCCCACTCTGTGACCTTGTCAGCCTAGAGCTTAACAGCGTGAACGAACCTGTTACCACACCCCACTGTTGTTCCTATTGCCATGGTAATACTGCAGTGAAGGTGTCATTTGTTTCTCAACTTAGAGAACTGAATGTTTGGTTTTCCAGCATGAGTTATGAACTTCATTATAGTATAAGTCTTTTCCAAGACTTGTTGGAGGTAGGTCAGAGGAAAAACCTGACAGATACTTAGTACTTAAATTTCACCTTCTTAAAACTGCATATAGAAGAAAGTTGTAGACCATATGCCAGCCCCTGGCTTCAAATTGGAATTACCTGGTTCTAGCCTTTTGGACAGGACTTGACGTGCTAAAACACCTGATTTCATCCCTGCCCTCTGTCAAAATCTTTCTTGAGATCCCAGGGCTCCTTGTTGTTGACTTCGATGCATGTCTGTGCCTCCTGTCTCGCAGGAAGAGTGCAGATGTGCTTTTTGATAAAGAACATTTGAACTTTGGCCAAGAGACAGAAACTGTGTTGTTTTAGTCACGTCACTGAGAGTATTTATATGGTTGTACAGTCTCTGATCTGCCTACTGCGCATCAGTTGAAGTGCTGGGAACTTCTTTTGATACAACACAGAGGGAGTAGGAGTGTTCTGTAATCTACAGCTTATGGAAACCTGATGCATTTTTAGCAATGTGTTTCAAATCCACATAGGTACCAACTGCAAGCATCACTGTGGAGGGCAATCCTGCTCTGAACCGTGTGAGATGGACACATTCTGGGAGAGAGATTGCTGTAGGTGATTCAGAGGGACAAATAGTTATATATGACGTGGGAGAGGTATGTATACCATGTATTGTGCAAGTATATTGAGTTTCTTTGCCCTTTACTTAGCAACTTGCTTTTCACTTTTTTTCTCCTGTCATTACAGGAATCACTTTTAGGTTTAATTTTTATTTTCGAATTAAAGATTCCTTTTAGGGTTTTATTTAGGGTGTTCTAGCATAACTTTTTAGTGTGCTGTCACTCTTGTTAAAAAGGAAAAACATTACTGTAAGGTTGGCAAAATAAGATGAAAGAACCAATGGTTTTGTTTGTAGAGACTTTGTCTTCTTTGTAACTGTGGCACATGTGAATTGTGACTGCAGTGGAGCAGTGTTGATTTTGTTCCTACAGGGAAGCTGTTGCTATTGCAAGTATGTGTACTGCAGTAGTACAAAACTGATTGATGGGCTGAGGATATAGCATTAGCATTCAGTTTTGGAGGCAGTCTCTCAGATGGAGGCGTATAGCCCAAGTTTGTAATAATATCATTATATATTTAAACGTAGGATTCTCAAATTCTGCTTGTTTTATTAGTTAGAGCTATTGATGGTCAGACTGTTTTAAAAAGTGACACTAAATAAACGTAAGCTTTTCTATGAGAACCTCTTCTGAATATTACTTAAGTGCTCTGCTGTTCAAAGTGAGCTCAGATTTATTTATCATTAGGTCTAAATACCACTCTCTTTGTCCACAGCAAATTGCTGTTCCTCGTGGTGACGAGTGGACTCGCTTTGGTCGGACGCTGGCAGAAATAAACGCCAACAGAGCTGACGCAGAAGAGGAAGCTGCGACCCGAATCCCGGCCTAGAGCTGGAAAATAGGCAGCACTGGTAGATTTGTGAATGATTTGATGCAAATCCTAAAAGTGCAAGCATGTGTCGGTTCAAATCATAGCTTAAGGGAGGAATGTATGGATTCAACTATGGACTTTGAAAACATATTAAGATCACTGAAAATCAGATCTTGCATTGTCACTTTTTATATATAAATTACAAGCACATTCTTGGATTTGTGTAACTTTTAATACAGTTAACTTTGACTCTGCAAGGAACTTACTTTGCTGAAACACTAACCTGGTATAAATTTGCTACTTGGCTTCTGAAAATTCCAGTCTGAAACAGTATCTTTCTGAAAAGTAGAAGTTCTGTTCCTAAAACTTTCTGTATTACACAGACTAACCTTCATTAGGTAGTAAATGTCTGAAGCATTCTTTAATGAACTCCTCAAATTACCCATGGATATGCATGCATATGTTCCAAGTAAATGTCATTGTTCATATATAGATAAGCCTCAGACTCTGGTAGTGGGTAATATATGTGAATAAAACTTGTCTGTAGTTACAAACTTACTTGATAATCCACCCTGAATTAATGAAATACATATTTAATACCAAGTTCTTTTTGTCTGAATTGGTGCATTAAAAGGTGAGATTGATTCATAAATAAATACGAGAACTTGTCAGCTGCCCTGACCTCTAATCTGTGTCCCTGCATTAGTTTAAAGTTTCTGGGAGCTGCTCCTTTTGTTTTACTATACACATCACAGAATTCTTTTCTACCTTCAACCTCCACTTCTTACCAAAGCCATTGGCCAATAGGAAAAAGGCTATTGTCAAATTTTTCTTTTCCAAAGGATAAGGAACTAGATTTTTACTTAATTTCTATGGCATGATGATTTGCACAGGCTTGCTACTAATTTTCTGTATTAAGTTAAAGGAAGATTTTTTTCATTGATTTTTAACATTTTTGTTGAAAACAAACTTTGTAATGGCTTCAAACAGAATAGTTGCAATTTCTGTTAAAGGTTAATTTTTTTCTTTCTTAGCACATTATAAAGTTTAAAGGGCTGGGGGCCTATAGTTTGCTTTTGGGTTGGTTTTGGTGGTTTTGAGGTTTTTAATGAATATTCTGAGTTGTAATAATTAGATTCTAAACCAGTATTGATGCCTTTAACTTAGGATTCTACATTTGTTTCTTCTGTTCTTAAATCTGCTACAAGTTTATTGTTTTCTCAGAAGAGCTGGTTTTATATGCTTAAAAATAGGAAATAGGCTTATATTTATTGATCAGCTTTGTGTCCAGAAGTATTCTCCTTGTTTCTTCATTGTTTGTATTTTAACTTTTCTGTTTTGTTTGGATTTTTTTCTGTTTCTCCTCCTCTCAGTTCTGTTATGAGTAGTTTATAGAGACATAGGCAGCAGGAACAGCAGTTCTGTCTTCAGGAGGGGTTTTTTTTCAGTGGGTCTGAAAGTGAAATGTGTTCAGGCTTCCATTGGTGTTGGTGTGTTAAAAATGTCTGTGTACCCCCCGCTTTCCCATGCAGTCAGGCTGCTTGGTTTGCAGATATTTACCCTGCATGTTTTCCTCAACCTTACAACAGCAGCTCTGTTCAGTTGAGAAGCGTGTGAACTACATAAAGAACAGGCACATCATGCGATGGTTTGTACCCTTTGGGCACAAGAATTCTTAGTGAGCAGAGTGTCTGCTTTCATGACGGTTTGGGGGGAGGGGGTGCTTGGGATTTTGGTCGGTTGTTCTTGGGGGTTTTTGTCCTGAGAATACATTTCTCTCAGACTTTTTCTTTTCAGAAATCCAGTAGATGAGACTTTCTTCCAGTGACTGTTGCACACAATGCAGGTCATATGGCACTAGTTTTGTGTAGTTTCAACCTTTTAGTAATTTTCATTTATTAAATTTAGTACTACTCTATATTCATTCCTGCTTCTTTTCCTCCCTCCCAGAATAGCTGAGTCCAGATTAAAAATGTTGTCAAACCCATACCTGCAACATGGAGACCAACAGTGATGGTAGGTACTATAAATGACCATTCTGGGAGCCAAACTGTCCAGTTTTAGAGCTGTAAGAAATACAAATGTTGTTGTGCATTGTAAAGTCTCCTAAGGCCTTGATCAAGTCAGTCAACAAGCTGTGACTAAGATTAAATGCCAGTGGTACCCACCACTTTTGTATCTGTTTAGAAAAGCACAGGACAAAATATACAGATACAAGAGAGGGTTCTTGGGAAGCCTGTCTCTGTCCAGAGAACTGTACAGAACAAGAAATTCCTTAAACAGAATAATAAAGACAGGAAGCCTTCTCATTGGGTTATATATATGCATGATGCAGAATAGTGATCAAACTCCCAAGGTCTATTGTAACCTCTGGCTCACTTAATATTAGGCACCAGAATATTTTGTATCTTGCTTGGAGGCTAGAGCTGAAGGAGGGCTTGTCTGTTTAGTGTTCAGTTTTTAAGAAGCCATTTCTTCATAAACTGACTAAATCTCTGATTGGTCTGCTATCACCTGAATAAGTAAATAACAGAACCTTGAATCAGTTCATACCGCTGGGATACGCTGCACTCTGGGGTGCTAAACCTGAGAAGAAACACATAAACCTCAAGATAGGAGGCTGCTGTGCTTCAGTGAGCAAGGCTGGAAACCCACCCCTCTCTTCTCTGGCTGCAAGGGCAGTATAACTACTTTTCCTCTGGGACTGTGGAAATCTAGACTCGCCTATTTCCTCTGACATTTTTGCATTTAAATATTATACCAGGGAAACTTTCAGCAGACGCTAAGCCAGAAACAGTTCAAGCTTTTGGTTTTTCCTCCCCTTTCACTTCCACTCAGCTTCCACTCCAATCGGTTTTGCATATAAAAATAATACATTAAGTAACTTTTTTTTTTTTTACCCCCACAGAATAACGTAATCTTTCAATGGTACAATAATCTAAAATAAAGAGAATGCCTTCAATTTTTTTATAACAAGGTTTCTATTCTGGAAAAAAAGCACTCTGAGTAATAAGCCCTGTAAAAATTCTTGAGTCTGCTAATAACTGGCAAATCTCTCCTTGTGTTTTAAATGTGCTACCATAGAGGTAAGATCTATTACACATTTACTATGACCATGTATTTCCAGATAATTCCTTGTCACAAAGTAGTGCTGCAAAATAAAATATTGCCTGTGCTCATCTAGTTACTGTATCCTCTTACACTTACAATCCAGCACATGGCATTTGAATTCCTTTGCTGTAACTAGCACTGAAGTGCATTCCTGCAAAGGCTGTGTCCTGTCCTGTACATTCAGTAAGTGGGCGCATCTGATCTTTAATCTGTGGAAGTTGTCCTACTGGACAACTTTCTCTAAACTCAAAGAAGTGAACTGATGTGTTTTTAAACATTTTATTGTCACGATTGTTAACAAAACGCCTTCAAAACATCTGTACATTTCAAACTATTTTGAACTGCAATACCCATTATATAAATGTACGTGTATAGATGCCCTGATGTCTCTGTACAAAGATGTACAATATGTACAGTAACATTAAATGCAAGCTGTGCAAGGCAAAGTCTAGGCTACAGCTTCATGCCACCAGTTAAAACAAGGCATAGAACCACAGCTTCAGTCAGTTCCTTGTGTGTAAATAAATAAATGCAGGTATGTATGAATATTAGAAAGGAGCAATTAGATTTGCAAGCTCAGTTCAGCTAGAACACATGCAGCTGACTGGGAAAAATATAGTAGTACTCTTGTGAACTCTTTCCACTGCATCACTTCGTTAGGTTGAAACATCTTTTCAGGATTCAGCTGCTACTTTTTGCTTGAACTGAGGTGATGCCAGGAGCTCGAAACTTTGGAAGATATAAACCAAATTTATTTTCTATACCAGCAAATGTAGCTGTAGCAAGTCTATATCCGCCTATATGTGCAGGGTTTACAGGAGGAAGATCTGAAATTCGAGTTTTTGGGGCAGCTTCTGATCCAGCAGGTTTGCTGTTTGAACAAAGAAAAAGAAAAAAAGCCTTTTTGTTATGAAATCTAGACTAAGAAATAACTGTAAATAAAGTTACTCAGGCTTAAATACCTCAGTCTTTTGTCTGAGTATGGAAGACTGTTAAAGCTGACCTTAATTAACTCTGATGGTGAAGTGGACCACTACTTAATTTTAAATCAACCCCAAAACTGAAGTTACAGTTTTACTGATAGTTTTGTAAATTCTTTTAACTTCCAGTGCCATGAGGAAAATGGACAAAACTATCTTGCTACAATGGAAATATAAATTAGTGTATTGAAATAAATATGAAATGGCTCTTTATTTCCTCATCTGTTTAGAAGGAGCATGCAAGTTTCCCTCAATTATATAAAAGGGGAGGGGATTTTTTTAATGCTGCAATTTTAAGCACAGGTGCTCAAAGCCAATGAGTTTTAATGGGTCCCATGCATTAAAAAAATAGTTTTGTTTTTTTTAAATTTGGTAGTTGTTTTGTGCAAGCTAAATAGCAAATACTTGACTTACAGGCCTCCAAAATCAACATAAAACCATCTCTGCAGAAGTTCATAAGTGACCAAAGTAACACCAAACTGGGGTGAAGATCTGAACACGCGAGCTGTTAAATATTACAAATCACAGTGTTAAACAAATGAAAGAATTTCTTAGGAGAGCAGCTAAACATTTTTAACAAGGTGTTATGTTTTTCACAATCAGACCTTGTAAATACTGCTCTAATTTGAGTCCTTAACAAAGCAAGTGCTAATTTGTAGGTTTGGGGTCAGCCATAATATTGAGAGTCCGTTTCTCACCTCCAGCTCCCTTCCACAAAGCCGAAGGGCCTTCTTCCCTCAGAATCTTCCTAAAGCAGTCGATAACTCCACTGTAGGTTGTCTGACCAGCGCGAGCTGCCACTTGCAGTCTTGTCTTGATGACATCAGCAGGGGTTACCAAAGAAGCAGCAGGCACACCTTTTAGAAGAAAACCACATTTAATTTGCACAAAAGATCTTGTAAAAGATGAAACACTTCTAACTGAAAAATACAACTGCAAACTTTCAGGTTTTTACCAAAAATGCAGGTTCTTACTCTTGATGCTCATATACACTGTTGTGCTTGGTATAGTTTTGTGTTTCTTTTAAAGGCTATAACTGATAGTAAAGAGAATAAACTATCAACAACGAATCTCTCAACATCTTCCAGTGGTCTGGCATTAACAGTAGTTTAAAACAAGATAAAAGAGGCTATATATGTAATATATAAAAATTAGTTATGCAGCCTTTCTGTATTTATTAATACTCTACAACATATTTTGCAAGTTACATAGATGATTGATTTGGGAATTGAATGCTATGCATCCGTTTGTTAAGGGTGCTAATGAGAAAACTACTACTTAAAACACCTATTCTACAGAAACATGTCTGTACTGCTGTTTGGATTGTTCTGTAGGAGAATAGATGCTGTTTACTTCAGTAGGCAAGCCATAAAAAGACTGAGGACAATGAAGGTGTTTTACAAGTCTGCTTAGTACCAACAGCATGATATTAGCCAACAGTGATGGAAGAACAAATCTCCATTTCCAAGGCACCACTCTTGGCTTTCTAGCCAAAGGAAAGGAGAAGGTTTTCATAAATGTACTCCACAGTATATAACTGTGTTATCTGAGAGATTTCTGAATACTCATGAATACTGTAAAAATTTAATCCCCTTAAAAAAGATGAACCATCTTCTGACTTAGAATTCTGAAATTAATTTAGACTTCTGTTGAACTTTTACAGTTTGTTAATATTGAATTAAAAATTTTAACAAGACACTGACTTGTATAGGTGATGATAAACTCTAAAGTGTCACTGACCAAGTCAGGAGGTTTTAAAGGAAAACAGAAGCACTGTGGTTAACCCTACAAGCACACGCTAATAGCAGCCATAAGCAGATTTCCCTTTGCAGGCAGATCCATTCAGACTGTATTCTTCCAGCTGCGCACGCGCAACAGGAACAGAGCGAGCAATTGGGAATTTGAAATCTGCAATTCAGAAAGGCAGATTCCTGTACATACTCTAAAACTAGGCCTGCAAGATTTACACACATTTTTAATAGGGTTCATCACTTAGTATGAGCAACATAGAAACACCAATCAAATGGAGAGAAGCTGTAAAGGTTGCAGTCTAAAAATAAAAAGTCTTGTATGAGACACAAGTTAGTGATATACTAAAAGATATATATGAGTATTGTACGAGTACAGGAAGCTAAATAATTTCCCACTTCTGGCAGCTCTGCACTACTGAAGGATAAGCGGGGCTACGAACACTCATTTCCTAGCTGGTCTCCTTTCCCTCTGGCATGAGGAACACACCAACTGGCACAGAGGAGGTGCAGCCAAGCTCTGTATCAAGTCCAGTGTGGGAAATGCTCTTCACACACAGGCGCTTGTGACTGATGTGTATATAGTGATTCCTTAGGATTGTAACAAGTAACAAAGGGTCTTGCTCAGCCCAAGGGTATTTCTAAACTGCAGATTCCAACACTGAGTCGTTCACAGTGGAGAGGCTGTGTGCAGATACCTGGTTTTCATCCAGTGAGCTCATTCTTGGCAGTGCAGAACCTGGTGATCTCTGGCTGCATGTTTAAATATCCACCACTGCAGTTCCTACAGCTTCTATTTTTATACCCCTTGCCATTCAGTAAAAACTTTTTATTACAGCTGCATATTGTCTGTATACTAAGACTGCTTGAGAAGCCTTAAAATATTTTAAATTTGAGAGTATGATACTTTAACTTCAGCTTCTTTACAAACTAATGCCATATTTTTAGCAAATAGATTTGCACAAAGTTTCTTTTAGTTATTCTAGAATCCAAAACTAGGTAAGCAATTTTCTTCCGAGCTCTTATGATCTCTCATTTTATGTTCATCAAAGATTCAAATTAGCCTTCAACTCTGAGAGCTCAGTAACAAGTAAAACCCCATTGAGACAGACAGATCAAATTTGACTACAAGTTGCTGAGCTGCATTACGCTGTTTATCCACATTATGCAAATGTAATTAGCTCTCATCAAAATTACATCGCCTCCCACTAAGGATAACAGTGATCAAATTTAGATTAAATCACATACAATGGTACAATGCCCTTCCTTTATATGGGGCTACTGAATGAATATTAAATGTTACTCACTAAAGAATGAAAAAATTACTTTTGGAAAACATTCTGCAATATTACCTGCAATGGCTCCAGCTGCAAGGAGATTAAGCCCTCCCACATGGCCACTTTCATCAGCAAACATCAGTTTACTATGAGCATAAACTGGAAAGTAGATTGCAGAAAAGGGAATGTCTCTGAGGAAACACGCTTTGGCACCCTGACACAGAGAAAAGAAACATAATGCAAATAAATTCTGTAGATAGGACTAAAATTCATATCCAGCAAGCAGCCTGAACCCAGAAAGTACAAACTCTTTTTATCTGCCACATAAATAACACAGAAAATAAAATGTCTCAGGAAACAGAAGATACAGGGAATTTGAAAATAAGAATAAAGTACATCTAAAGTAAGAGTCTGGAACCAAGAAGATTGTAAGCCATACATGACATCAATCCTGACATCAGTACCTAGGATAAATACTTTTTACACATTAGGTGTCCAAAGGCAATGAAGTGACAAAGATCAGTCCCTTACATCTTGCTGATAACAACCCACAGCCAGGGAAGCAGCAAGACAAGTCCCTGCAGGCCATTCTTTCCACCAAACACAAAAGCAATATTAAAATACTAGCAAGGACTGTAAGACCTCACACTGGTCATCATCTGGTTGACCAAAGAAGCTGCACTGGAAAGGTAACAAAAAGAGAAAAAAAAGCTGTGAAATGGGCACAGTTTAGTAAGGAAATGCAATGGTCATGAATCTCATCTACTGAATTCAAAACAAAACCCTTCAACTCTGAAAGTAAACATGCACATTTTCATAGTATTATTGCAGGTCTATGGACAAATCACATAAAGCAATGTTTTGTAAGTGCACAGCTAATATAACTGCTGAATTTACGTATTACCCCTTGCACTGGCAGAACATACAGGAAGAAAAGCTTTTCCTTGTTTAAGAAAACTAATAGCTTCTGCTCCATTACATCTGATCTGTAATGATGGCAGTAAGTACACCTGCAGGGAAGGAATCTGTTGACTGGCATTCTGCTGAAGTACCATACAGTATGGGCTTTTTTCAGTGGAATTTATTGACAAATCCCACCACTTAACTTCTTAAAAATCTGAATCCTACTAAACTCCACTACTGTTTCACTGCCATCAAATTATTAAGACAAAGAGAATATCCTGCTGGAAAGATAACAATAGAGATAACAGAGATTCAAAATAAATGTAAGAAAAACGCACAGGGAAAGCTAGAGAAACTTCTCAAAAAACCCCACCAAAGGAAATGATCAGTGCCAGGAGCCAGCAGGTCTGCAATACAGGACTCCCTGTAGCTTGGCATAAAAGCCCAAAGGATAGAATGGGGGAGTATTTTTTTGTATCCCACTGCCATTAATTTAGAAGTGAGTTTCTTCAGTTTTCCACTGTGGGGCTGCCCTGCAGGAAGAGATTGGTTTTAAATTCAAAAGATGTCTTTGTTTTTAACAATTTTTGTTTCAACAATACAAAAGTTTAGCATAAAACGATGGAGCCACTCCAAGCAGAAGCACGTACCTTATAAAGACCAAGAAAGCCCAGATCTTTTATAACAGAGAGGGCACTGACTCTGGGTCCTGTAGTAATTTCTCCTGCTACCTGCAACCGAATCTTTACAATTTCCAGAGGATTAGTGAAGATGACCTGGGAAGCTCCTGCCTGCAAACCCAGAGAAAAAGAAAGTAAATTGCATTACAAGAGCATGTGGTGATGTACTGACTTTTGCTATGTGCTGAGGGCCTGCACTTCTCACTGCTTTGGCTGATATTCTCATGTAAAAATATATGAGAGATATTTAATAAAGCACCTGTGTGGAAGTTAAAAACCCTCAGTTTCTATCTTCTCCTTGACATCATTTTCTAGAAGTCGTGGCTCTGTTTAACTGTCTATTAGATATTACAGGAAATACTAAACTAAAA